CTCATCACCACTTTCCTTTATTCTCTCCCTCCAGCGTCAGTCACGACCAGACGTTCAGGTTAACAGGCAGACCGCGCTGGTGCTGAGGGCAGTATTGACGCAAGGATGCTGAGTCACAAGCGGGTTTGTGTCTGTGTGTGTGTGTGTGTGCGTGTGCATTCATGCAGAAGGTCTCAGGTGCAAAGCAACCATGTGTTATTCTGTCTTCATCAAAGTAAACAACATTTGTTCAGAGAAGATGTCCCATGTTCCCTTTTTGGCTCACTGACCTGGGTTTGAAATGGACTTCTGTTGTCAAGTCCAGTTAAATGATCTTGAATTAACTTGAATCACATCAAGTCAAACTAAGTCATGCTAAGCAAAGCCACATTAGTTCAACTCAAATTTTCTCAGCCCATGTCATATCAATACAGAGACAAAGAGACAAAGCCATTAAAATTAATTAAATTCAAATGAAGTTAAGTAAAATTAAACACTGAAACCAAGCAAAGCTTAGTCAAAACAAGTCAAGCCAACTAAAATCAAACAAACTCAAACAAACTCAAGTTAACGAAATTCAAACAAATTCAAACCAAGCAAAATTAACATAAGTCAACTAAACCAACTCAACACAAACCATGTCAGTTCAACCCCAGTCCTGTTTAGGCTCATTCTTACTCTCTCTTCCCCCCCATTCCCATTGTAGCAGACCTAAAATTTTTAGTTATGCATTTTAATAAATTTATGAGAATTGATACCCAATTATGAATTAATATTCATAAAATCAAAATTTTCCTCGTTAAGGGCACCACCGGAGTTGTTATAATCCTAGAGTCTCCGGACCTCTAGGTAGTTTTGAATAATTATACAATTATTACTAGTGATCAGTTAATAATCGCTCAATTATCTTAAATCAGTCAGTCAGTCTCATATCTAAAGGGTCAATTCTCTTGGCAGGAACTAGAAATAGGCTAACTTAATGTCTAAAGAAAAGAAATCTATTTGCACGTATTATAATCAAATATTTTCCACAATCGAACCTCAATGGTTGAACGGTTGTACTGTTATAGGCATTGGGTAACAGGAAACAATCGTCACATTATTGGTCAGGATATTTATACATTTAACGGCATTTCCGATGAGGGCATGTAATACTTATTTCGGCCACTTGGGGGAGCTCAGGTTACATGAGGAAAGCTTGGATTAAATCAAAGATCGTCTCTCCTTAGGAACTGGGAATATTGTTGATTCATCCTTAAATTCAAGCTGGCGATTAAGAGTATCATAAAACATTTCTTTGTCATCATTTCTAAAGGGATTTTGTAAGAAAGTATTATGAACAAGCATTGATTACATTAGATGAAGGAGTGTCTTGCTGAAAATAAAAACACTGCACAAGTAACTTCTTTTCAGCACTAATATCAACAACAAATAGCAACACCAGTTAACATAACTACTCAAATAGAGGCAAACGTAATCAGGTAACTAAAGATTTAATTAAACTTAATTAAATGCTTTGAGTCTTTGGAGACTGCAGTCCTTTTACATTGAAAGTTCAGTGTCTGGACCATGTCACACTTGGGTGAGACAGCGGTTTTCCTTTTTGATGTGGTAAAAAAACAAAGAATAAGGGCAGTTGCCACGGAAACGTGTGTGGGGGGGGCAGTTTTGATAGGCGGTTCAGGGAGATGCCAATGGCTGGTTCGTGTCCCTTTGTCAGTTTGCCAGTTTTATGGTGGGGATAGCACTTAAAGAAAGCAACTTTGACCCCACCCCTTCTTCTCTGGGGAGGAGAAAGGAATTTAGGGTAGCTCCAAATTTATTCAATGTAAAATGCACAAATCCACACCGCTGTTCACTACACCATACAGTTTCTTGCCATCATTGCCATCCTCCTCTCATCCACTCAGACTTTTCCAGCATCCCTCATCTGCCCTGCAAAAACCCCTTTCCACCCAGTCCTAGTCACCTGACCTTCCTCGCCCACCTCCTCACCTGTTCCCGCTTTCTCTCATCAGCCCTGCTGTTGCCTGATTTTCCCCACCCACCTACCTGCTTCTTATTTCCCCTAATCAGCCCAGTAAAACATATGCAGGTTCATTTCCATCAGTGCTCTTTGTCAGATTGTTCTAGTTGCCTTGTATGTATTCGGGTTTCTGTTACCCTGCCCTCAAAAAAACACTACATTGGGTCCAGAGTTGTGACACAAATCAAGTTAAATCAAAGTCAAACAAGGTCAAGTAAACTAAGGTTAAACTCAAGATTAAAATCAAAAAGTCAAACCAAGCAAGGTAAAGTCAGCCATGTAAAGTCAAATACACCAAGACAGGACGAGTCAGTTAAAAAAAGTTGAGTAAAATGTCAAATAAAATGAAAAGTCCAGTCAGTTAATATGTGCTTTGTGAGAGAAGAAAATTACATGGGCAACTAGTTAACGTGATGTCTCACATAGTCATTTAATTGGACACCGTTCATATAATGGTTAAAGCAAGCTACTTTAAATTTAAATTGTGGAGAAAACTCTCCTGGACTCTTGTTTAAAGAAATAGGGGCTGTTACTTTGTCGGAATGTCCCTCATACATGAACAGTCTCTGAAACACTCCACTGTAACTGTGTTGGTGTTGGCAGAGATTTTTTTTTCACTTGCATTCAAATGATAATAGGCCTGCTTTAGTAAGCTGTTGTTACCCTGCTTACAAAAGCCAGTCATTTCAAGCATGGCATTTTCAGCCATCAGAAGCTGTCACAACTGGTGCACGCTGGGTAACAGGTGCACATTTGGGATGACTGAGACAGAGCTGATGCAGTTCAATGATTAAATGTACACAAAGGGAAGTACAAAGGCTTATGGGATGGTGAGGCAGTGAAGGTTTAAAACCAGAAAAGGCAAACAAATCTGACAAGGAGCAGGATGAAGAGTCCAACAAACAGGCAGGTAAACCGCAATGAGACTGGAGGAAGAGGCAGATTGTGACAGAAGCTTGATGTAGGTATAGCCACTACGTGTCCCTGTTTGCAGATCTCGCTGATTACACCACTATCATTCATATCCCAAGAGCTTCTGCCTACACTGCATGGAAATGCTTTCTGCATACTTCAGTAAGTCTGCAAGCTGGTCTCAAGGGCCCCTGTCTCATAGATCCACACATGACTTTAATGAAACGCTTTAGTGGGTATGGCTCCCAGGAAAGGGATGTGCATTTGTAGTTCATTGTGTTGTTTCATTTCTTGACAGGACCTGTAACAGCACAAGCGGAGAACTTGTGACAAAACGTGTGACTGCCCTGAGATGACGCGGCGGTCCCTTTGGCTCTCTGCTGCCATTTCCCTCCAAACAGACCACTCTCTCTCCCTGTTGTTTACTATAAAAAGACACATGCACAAACAAGAATGACCATAACGCCTCTTAAACGGATGTAAAAGTTCACTTGCATTCGCCCCCTTACTCACGTGCAAACCCACACAGTAGCCTCACAAAAGCACTAAAAGTTATCAGTCAGGAGTGTTAGTCAGAGCGGTCATGTGCTGTGTGTGTGTGTGTGTGTGTGTGTGTGTGTGTGTGTATGAGCTTTTGTGAGTGTTTGCAGGCGCTGGGATGGAAAATGAATATCACAATATGCTGACAGATGGTTGGAAAGAGACAGATAGCAAATAATTAGAAGCGATGCAGATGAATGATAAGGCTTCCATTTGACCAGAGAGGGCCGATCCATTCAAAGGAGCGGAAGGCACAGATGAGACATCTTAGCAATCTTATAAAATCCTTTGACTGCTGCATTTAATGTGACGGTGAGCAATGTTTCTCTATAAATATAGCCTACCTGCACAAAGCAGACATTGCTCAATGTCACTTTAATTGGAAATTTTGTCTCTGAAATGTTTCCTCTTATTATCAAAGGAGATTAACACAACACTCCTTGAGGTTGCCCTGCTATTGCAATACAGTGGTTCAAGTCATCTGTGTAGGTTTGACTGGAAACACACAGCTGCCCCCTTCTGATCATAATGTGCACTGACAGTATCTCTATTTACATCTCCATGGTGTTTAATTTATCTTTGAGAAAGTATCCGACTTTCGACATCCTCTTATCAACCCCTCATCACATTTTAGCTGATAACTAACAAACTTTAGTGTTGTAACTTTAGTAAACAGGATGCATCACTGCTGCAGTGCTCATGCAGGGCCTGTCGTTTTTTAAGTGACAAACAACATGCCGTATCAAGGTGTCAAGACTTTGCTGCTCATTAGTACATGTCTGCTCTCTCTGTGACATTCCACATACACTGAAGATATTTGGACACGTGTATTCAAACACGCGAACAATTAATGCACATGGGAACATAGCGTGTGTAAATACCTACATTGCCACTCAGTGCTAATCATCATCATCATCATCATCATCATCATTGTTTTGCTTTACAAGGGTTAGGGATTTCAGGGGTCCCTGAAACCTTCAGATTGTCTGTGTGGCATTTATTTTGTAATTTCAGTCATCACAAATTTGTTTGGTAATGTGCACCACAAAGCTAAATCAAAAACTGAAACAGTAAGGCCCTTAAGGCTGCTGCTGCTTTTTTACCCAATCTTGAGCCACTGTACAGGGGCCATATGTCATGTAGTTTTAATATTCCAATTGACATTATGCTTACATGGTACATGTCCTTAAACAATAGGGACCAAACCGCTCTTTTTTTTGCGTGTGCATTAATCTGTCCCTACATACACACATATTATGCATACATATTCACATGAATCTGTACATGTATGTGTGTATTTATTATGTGAAACACACATTAGGTTACATCTAGAGGATATTATTAACAAGGCAAAATGTTCACTTTTCCCACCACTGCTTTCTTTTTGTTGGCTGCTCTTTGTTCCAAATAAATTATATTGAACCATGAGTCCCCACTGGGAGATAACACATGGAGCAGGCTTCTGCAGGTCACTGAACTTGGTATGATTTCCCACTTGTGTTTGAGTGTTTACAGTGTGGTGACTTGCTGCAATCGGTTTAGAACACAGACTCTATTATATATAAGATATAAGATATATACAGTCTATGTGGTTTAGAAAGTCAAAGTTTAGAGCTCAATGGCAAGGAGTTCCAGATGTCCTCCGACACGCTGGAGGGCGCTGTTGCAGTCTCACACCGCGCTAACGTCCCGTCTGTTGCCGGAAGTAAATCTCACTTTTCAAAGGAAAGGCATGCGAGTTTGTTTGGATCTCCATGTGACACCGACTTCGGACCAGACCCCCTGGAAACTGAACGACATCTCCAAGTACACTCACAGCCGTCATGGGCAAAAAAGGCAAGAAAGAAAAGAAGGTGAAGGGAGCCGAGAAGACGGCTGCCAAAATGGAGAAAAAGGTCTCAAAGAGGTCCAAACGAGAAGAGGTAACACTCTTGTGACACAAAGATTAACGCTTCCTTATTTGTTCATATTTGTTCTTTTCAAATGACATAAGAAGGATATTCTGCCGCGCTAATAGCTTTGTAGCTTTGTGCAAATTACTGTTAAAATGTTGTTAAAATAAGATTAACTTAAGTTAGCTGGTCTGTTGCATAGTCTAACATGGTCTAACGTTACTGCAAGTCGTAGCAAGTTCAACTGTCAACAAAATTAGTGCAAGGAAACACAACCGTCTGCATTATTACTTACAACATTAGCTAATTTTTGTAAGCCATTTACATTCCTCTGCGTTTTGTCCTTCCTTCTCCGTCTCCAGGAGGATTTGGAGGCTCTGATTGCTGAGTTTCAGAATCTGGATGCCAAGAAGACCCAAGTTGTAGAGACAACATGCCGCCTCCATCACCAAGGTGAAGGACTGCATCGCTTTCTACATCTTCAACTTTACAGTCCCCGTTGGGAAATGTGTCTTGCAGCAGAAACACAGAGCTCATACAGACTTGACCGTAGAACATAATGGAACACATCAAACATAAAGCAGTGCAAGATCGTCAGCTGACTCATCAAGAGCTTAAACAGTTGAATGACATACGAGACAAAGTGTCAAAGTACAGATGAGGCTGATGGGAACGTCAATCATTTTGCAGGTATTTGGTCATAAACCAAAGTACTGGACAAATGAGTGAGAAGCTGCTTCAGGGTTGGGACATTATGCATGAATCGTCAGCCATGGCAGGAAGCTGGACGTCTCTCATTCTCTTACGTCTTTTTCATGTCTTTCAGATTGAGTGCGTCTCTCTCTTCCCATCCTGAGAAAGATGAACTCATCCTGTTTGGGGGAGAGTTCTTCAATGGAAAGAAGGTAGCAAACAATACGCTAATGACTGCTTCTTTGTGTGAGCAATTTATGAAACGTGTCACTTTGGATGCAGGCTTTCCAAATGTGTCTTTTGAACATGAAGAACTGACTGATGGTTCAACGCGGTGACATTTAATCTGTGTGTCCACCAGCTCACTCACAGCCACTAACTGGGGCAGGATTTTGCAGCTTCTGTAAAGTAGAAGCCATCTTTGTTCCTAATCTAAACAATTGGTAAAACTGTGTAACTGTTTATGAATTTATCAGGTTTGATTCATATGTTTAATTTAAAAACCGGTTGTTGCCTTTATTTATTTATTTTTTTGCAGACGTACCTGTACAACGATCTGTTTTTCTACAACATCAAGAAGAACAGCTGGGTTAAATCAGACATCCCCAACCCTCCTCCCCCCCGCTGCTCTCATCAGGTACGCCTACAAAGAGGATTCTTTTGGTGCACGCTGTGTTAATATTTCTGCTCACATTGAAACATCGCAGTGCTTTTCTGCAGTTTGACACCCAGCGAGCAAAACCGCATTCTGCACTTAGATCACATGACTAGTATTAATCAAAAGGCCAATATTCATAATGAGTTTACAGCTATATTTAATAGACCCTGCCTGGTAGTGCCACACTGCTGGAACATAATTTTGCATGGAAGTTCTTACTCAATTATGTGATTCTTCATTTAAACCACATGGGGGCAGACTGCCGTACCACCCGTTCGGTGAAGCTTATCAGCAAAGTCATCACGGCTGCTGCAAGAAAACCAATTAAATCTGAGGACATTAAACCTCCTCATCTCACTCTGTACATGCAGACCTCTTCCTCCATTCTGTCTCACTCCTCCTTCCCTCCATCCTTTCCTCCCTTCAGGCGGTGGTAGTTCCCCAGGGTGGGGGTCAGCTCTGGGTGTTTGGCGGAGAGTTTGCCTCTCCTAACGGTGAACAGTTCTACCACTACAAGGACCTTTGGGTGCTGCACCTGGCTACACACACCTGGGAGAACATCAAGTACGTGCAGACGGTCATAAAAATAGATTTAATGATGAACAGAGGGCTGAATAAATGGAAGTAATGATTGAATGTGTGAATACGGGGATGTGAGAGTGGCCAGAAATACAACTTTATGTTAAATTAATTGATGAGGAAATCTTAATTTGTTCTGTCTAATGCAAGCCTAATCAGCAGATCAGTTGATTGCTTAGTTAATAGAAAATATATAGCTTCATGATTAAGTAAAACAAGCCCCATGGTGCATTGCATTGTGGATGGTTACTTTGTATTTATAATTATCATTTTACAAACATCAGTGATCTGAAATTATTTAAGTTAAATTATATAAGTTTTGTGTATTTCCAGGGCGCCTGGTGGTCCTTCAGGTCGCAGTGGCCACAGGATGGTCCTCAGCAAGAAACAGCTGCTGGTGTTTGGAGGTTTCCATGAGAGCACCAGGTTAGCAGAAGGTTACGGAATAATAAACCAGGACAATATATCTTTAAGGGAGTAGACAGTGGGCAGGTGTTTGGTTACATCATCACTTCCTTGATACCTGTAATGGGTGAAGAGAGACAGACTTTTCCAAATTTCCAAAGTTTCATCTGTTCATAATTTGGATTTATTCATATGGACATTCATAGACTGGCTATATAAGTAAGACACACTACATAAACACCATAATGCCAAGAGTTTTAGGAAACCCCTCCGAATCATTGAATTCAGGTGTTGCAATCACTTCCATGGCCACGGGTTCTACAAACATTTGTGAAAGAATGGGTGGCTCTCAGGAGTTTATTCGTGAAATTTCCTCACTACTAAATATTCCACAGTCAACTATTAGTGTTATTGTAACAAAGGGGTAGTGATTGGGAACAACAGAGTGGTAACCAAAGTGGTAGGCCATATAAAATGTGCATAATTGGTAAAATGACTGCATTATGAAGGGAGACACTTGTAGAAGAACAAACTCGCCAAGAATACACACCTGACTGCAGCTGCAGTTCCTCTCAGCTCTACATTTTAGTGTCTTTCAGCTCATCGTTTTATTTTTACATTTTACCTTTGAACCTTGTTTCCAGCAGCAGCAGACGGCTCTTTTCAGTGAAAATCATTTGGTACAAAATAACACAGACCAAGGTGATGTATGTAGTGTATGGGTATATTGGCATTGAAGTTCAGGTTGTTAAACTCTTCCTGCTGTTTAAAGTCTGTCATGTAATAAGATGGTTGATTCAGTATTCAGTTTGGCATAGCTTCAGTGAAGTGATCATCTTTTTGCAACAGGTCATCGAGTTGACACTCCTTCAGTGTCCCTCTGTTTTTTCCATTTTTGGTTCACTCGCAGCCCTTTCCTCTCCTACTTACTCCTCCTCCCCCCGCAGGGATTTTATCTACTACAACGACGTGTACTCTTTCTCCCTGGACACCTTCTCTTGGTCACGCCTTACTCCGTCGGGCACCGCCCCCTCCCCACGCTCGGCCTGTCAGATGACCTCCACGCCTGATGGCACGGGTGTCATCATCTACGGGGGATACTCTAAAGTGGTGAGTGTGTGTGGGCATGTGTGCCACTCCCCTATTGATAATTTATTACTTTTTGTGCCTGCCTGATAAGTGTGTGTGTGTGTGTGTTTACTAGAGAGTGAAGAAGGATGTAGAGAAGGGAACCATCCACTCTGACATGTTTCTTCTGAAGCGAGAGGGCAAAGATGGCCAAGGTACAAAAAAACGTCACAATTAGAGACATTTAAGACAATGCAAGCGATAACACGAATAGAAATCATCTAGCTGTTATCCTTATTTTTTGTGACTCATCCTGCCTGTTTCTCTGTCCTCCAGAGAAGTGGTCGTGGTCCAGGTTGAACCCCTCTGGTAGCAAGCCCCCTCCTCGTTCGGGTTTTTCTCTGGCCGTGGCACCAGCGGGGCGGGCGGTACTGTTTGGTGGGGTTTGCGATGAAGAAGAGGAGGAGTCACTGGAGGGCGACTTCTACAACGACCTCTACTTCTATGATACCGTGAAGAACCGATGGTTCCCCGGCCTGCTCAGGGTAAGCTACAGGGCCATGAACCTGCTGCATGAGTGAGTGTTTGGATTAAATGATGTGTTTCAGGAAAAATACATGAGACTTCATACATCCATGCACCTTACTAATTTATTATACCTATTACTTTAAATAATAGACTTCAAAAAGACGTGGACATAGTCACTGTGACGTCACCCGTTGGTTTGTGGACGGCTGTTTTGAAGCCTCGTGTCTGGCAGTTTGGCCGCTGCCATGTTGATTTAATGCAACAATGCACCGGACGTGAAAATATTTGGACGAGACGGCGCGCTAGCAAGCTTGGATACTGTACCTGTATACCTGTACAGCCAACTCCTAATAAGCTTTTTCAACGGCGTTAGTTAACTTTACACAGGGCAGTGGATACGAATCACTGTTACCTGATTGACAGGTCGCCGTGGTAGCGACTCACAAGGTCAATCACAAGGTAGTCCCGTCCTAGAGCATACTCTGCTTTCCGGTCTATTTTCCTCTAAATGGGACCATCATTTACTAAAGGAACATCATGCTGTGTTGAAGAAGACTCGAAACTAACGACTGAGACCATCAGCTCATTATGAAAGTGTTTACTGAGGTCAGGTGGAAAGTAGGATCATTTTACCATTATTTCTAATAGAACAGGACTTCTTTTTACAAACAGAGGTGTCACCCCCTGCTGGTTGTTAGAAAGAATGCAGGTAAAGTGATTTCCGCATTGGCTTCAGTCGAGAGCTGGAGGTTACCGTTTGCTTAAGTACATATACATATTGCTTTAAAAAGGCACATGCTTTGAGAAATCTTTAAATGGTCACTGTCATTATTGAGTTTTGAATGAGTTGGGCCTGACAATGTTTTATTGAGGCATTTAAAGTGCAGTTTGATAGTCAAAGTTTGTCCTTTGAAATCCACTAGTCCTGACTAGAAATCCAAATCATTACAATATGATGTGGTGCTTTACTGCCTCGACCTCGGTCTGCGATCGTTTTTGTTTCTGTCTGTCCAGGGAAATAAGTCGGAGAAGAAGAAGCGACGGAGGGGGAAGAAGGGTGGAGCCGAGGGAGAGGGAGCAGAGAAGGAGGGGGAGGAGGGGGCGGCGGCAGCGGCATCTCAAGCACCCACTGAGGTCATCAAGGAGATTGTGACCGAGGACGGCACAGTGATGACCATCAAGGAAGTGATCCCAGGAGCTCAGGAGGAGGAAGAGGAAGATGAGGAGGAGGAGGAGGATGGCAAGATCACACACACACAAACACACTCACAAAACTAATTAAAGATGTGAAAAAATATCGATAGGTTGTTAAATTTATCTCCTCAGGTTCAGCCTCGGCCCCCTTGGTGGAGCCTTGCCCGAGGTCCAGTGCCATGGCAACAGTGCGTCAGGGCAAGCTCTTCCTATACGGTGGGATGTTCGAGGTTGGCGACCGCCAGTTCACCTTGAACGACTTCTACTGCCTGGACCTCCACAAGATGGACCAGTGGGAGGTTCTGGTTGAAATGGACCCAAGTGAGTGACAAAGACGTGTTAATAACACATGTAGATGAGAAAGGATATGAAACCTATTCAGTGTCGGCTCAGCAGGTCGTCCTACAGCAGCCGGTACACTGATTTGTCTTGTTTAAATATCTTGTGACGCAGAAGAGCAGTTGGGGATGATGAGATGGGAGAGAGGGGTGTGAGGTTTCATTTGGATTTATGATTCTCTCTCCGCAGAGACACAGGAGTGGCTCGAAGAGTCTGAGTCAGAAGATGAGGAGGAGGAGGAGGAGGAGGAGGAGGCGGCGGCGGCGAAAGGAGCAGAAGAGGATGAAGAGTCTGAAGAGGAAAGCGAGGATGAGGAAGGCAAGGGATTGTTCGGCCTCTTCACTGTTTTACACTTCTGTCTCTTTCTCTTCCTGTTTACCATTTCATGTGACTTACAATGCGCAGCAAGCATAGGCATCTCGATCAGGGTGTGCTTGACATTAACCAGAAGTTGATATGAGGTAAACCAACCTTCCAATCACGGGAAAACATCTGTAATAGGAAATCTGTTTTGGTGTCAGTAGGCAACGCTAGGCGCTAAAGGCCTTGTGTTTTCGCCCATGCTCTATTGCTGTATTTTTTTAGTAAAGAAAAATCTCCTCTTGCCTTATTTGAACAGCAGTAAAGCAGCAGTAAAATGTAAACATAGGCTCTGACAGTCTGCGTGCCGTAAATCCTTTAGTCTGATTTTGCACAAAATTGAATAACTACAGAAATAGCCAATCTTCTCGCTGATGCTCCCTTTTGCTTATGTAGGTCATATAGAGGAAACAGTATGAAATTAAGACGGTTTCATGACCAGTTAAAAACTCCTTCTAGTATGTTTAAAACCAGTGATTACCTCTGGGGACCTTGGATATATGTAGCAAATTTTATTCCATATATTAGTTTCATGAATCAAAGTGGTGGCCCGACCAAACGATTTACTGACTATAGGCATTTTCACATGTCATGGTTGGAAAAGCACCGGTGTAAATAAAATAAAAAAAACCATGATGATTGATTTCCATTTACCACCTTCAGTTTCAGGGTCCTTGTATTGTGACTTACTGTGAAAAGCAAAAGATTTTTTAAAATGTTACAAGCAACTTTAACCTCTCTACCTGTGTGTTTCCAGATGAAGAAGAGCACCCCGCAGTGCAGGAGGGAGAGACAGTGACGGATTACCAGCTCCGTACAGAGCAGTACTGGGTGGGACTGGCACGTGCCAACATGGGCTCCGAAGCCAAGGACAAAAAGGTCGCCAAGGTTGCCCTCGCCATGGCAAAGGTCTTCTATGAAGACCAGTAGTGGGAGACGCCAAACTGTCTGAGCGACTGTGTGTGTGTGTGTGTGTGTGTGTGTGAAATTTGTTTGTAATTACCTTTTTACAAATCATGTCATTTGAACAGTACTGCCAGTAATTCAGAAATTCAAGTGAAATCTCAAAAAACCCACCAACTGATGAAATTTGAATATATGGACTGTTTTAGACGTAGTATAATGGTTTGTTGAGCATAACGCTTTTCATTCATTTTCATTTAAATAACTCTATTCTGCGACTTCACAAAATAATAAATAACTAATAATTAAAACTAAATTGCTGCTGTCAATTTTGAGGCCAGTGTTGTAAAGCAGAAATTAGTGTTCAAAGGAGAAGTTGAGCATTGAAATTAAATTGCATGTGGTTTTGGAGTTAAAACAGCAGCTTAGTTGGGGGGGGGGTGTGTGAGAGCAAATGTAATTATTATTACAGGCCTAAAATCCAATCAATAAAGTCAAAGTGGGTGTTTTATTTGTAAACTTGTCAGATTTAGCACAGAGAGCTGTGTTGCTACACAGACCAGAAGTACCAGAGGTTGTTTTTTTTGCTTAATGGTGGGCAGCAAAACATACTGTACACATAACAATGACATTATCATCTTATAAAGTTGAGATGGGGAATGTGTTGGCAGACAGTTGTGTATTTCCATGTCTAGCACAGTGACATCCATTTGAAGGTGTGTCTCTGGCAGCCTGAAAAAAAAGTCCAATAAGAACTCCTGAGAAACATATCAAGCTATTTAGCTGCTAAATGCTCCACAACGTTCACCAGCTAGGATGTTATGTGGTGCGGGTCAGGTTGTGTAAAGTGGGTTTATCAGTGCCTTTTTTTTTTTTTTTGGTGAAAACAGCTGCCTGCTGCTGCTGGGAACAAGGGACCTTAATCATTTCTCAAATTTCTGCCTCCTCAGTCCTCGAGGAGACGCTAGGAGAGAGGAGTCGAAGAAACAGGAATTTAACGAAATGAGATTTCCTTTCCTCGGAGCTGTGATCTCTGTCAGAGCAGCAGACCAGCTTTTGGCCCTAAAGACTACAGATAATTTCTTCACAATCCAGAAACATGTCTGTCAACATTATATATCAGTGGAAACATCTCGAGGTTCCAATAAACATTAATAATCATTCACAAGGCTGCACAGTACTACTTTTTTTTTTGCGGTGCGCCTTTTGCCTGTAAACAGGAGATCATTTCAACCCTCAGCCTGATGAGATGAGCGTTTCATCATCAGTCCCTTTACAAAATGACAGTAATATTTATCTCATATTGCCCTAAGTCATTACAGGACACTACTGTTGGAATGACGTGCAGACTACATGGGCACTATTATTATTATAACATGAAACACAGCAGATCAGGTCTGTATGCTCTGGTTCATATTACAGCCTAATATTTTGACTTCAGCAGCTCTTTGAACTGTTTTGTCACGGTTATAGCAGCTGAATTGGTGTGATGGGCGGATCGGCTCGGACATTAACAGAACTCATATTTATATGCATAGTCTAAATCATCCATCCGCCCCCCCACCAGCTAATTATTTTATCAGATTTAGAGACCAGCACCTGTATGGGCATTTTATCTCGCCTCCACCGGCCAGGCGATTTCTTTCTTGTGTGTTATATTGATGTATCAGCGTTTTCTTTAACGATTTACTTTGATGATTCGAGAGGCTGCTGTCATTCATTTAAACGTTTCCATCCGTGCAGTAATGTCACAGCAAATATCGTGGGACAAAACCTGCAGTAAAAGGCTAAACTTGACAGGACAGACAGAGAAAACAGGGGGAACAGAATTAAACTTTCAGCTTCTATAATCCAGATGGAGTGCAGGATTGATCAGGAGGACGGCTGCTTTACTCCAGTTTCACACCGGTTGTTCACTAATGGATTGTATTTTTCATTGAAGCAATTTTCATTTTGAAAATCAAATATAAATTACACTTCATAGTTATGTTATCCTGGTTGACTCTGCAATTGGAATATAATTCTAAATGTATTCATATAGCCTACCATCCATTTACCATCCAATGCTACAATATCAATATGAACATCTCTAACTACCAAATGACTTAAATGATGCACTAATTGAAGGTTAATTTGTCTCTCTATATAATAAGGTCAGCTGGGAGTGTGATCTTTTGGATGTCTTACCACGTCGGGCCCTTAGAAGAGAGTCGACAGCGTGTTGATATATTGGCAGAGACAGATGAAAGGTGTTCATGGTTTAGACTACCACGGGCGGTTTTCAAGATGTGAAACTTTTTCGAGCCGTTACTTACACAGATACACGATCCAAGCCGACTTTCCATTAATTCCACTGCTGATGCTGATAAAAATGATAGACTTTCTTTTATGAAGCTCCAAAAGCAGGACTCATAGCTCTTCTTTTACTCTTGGATGCCATTTTAATGAATGAACACGTCCGGACATATGGGACAGGACGCGTAGCCTTATACACCCAAGGGTAACTATAGTGTCTGAACAAGATAAACAGATAACTAAAACATTTAACAGTGGGAGATAATTGTGGAGAAAAGCCTTGAGCCACAGTGGAAGCTCCTTACTCGCAGGACAGGAAGTATAAGACTAAACAATCTCACACATGTTCATTCTATCTCAAACCCTGGTACACATAGTGTCAAGTACATAAGATAAAGACACATGCAGGGTTATATAGGTAAAGTACATATAGGTAAAATCAATTTCCTGTCACAACAAAGAGGTGGCACACTCGTACGAGCCCACCGTACGGAATAAAGTCAGAGAAAGTTAAGAATACGAAAATGTTCTTGAGGCCCAGCGAGCTGAAAGACGCTGAAACATTCTGTAGAGCTGGGGGATAAATCTCTTTCGGTTTGTCACAACCAGCGACACCTCTCACATTACTTATTATTTGATGCATTGTTAGTATATTAATTAGTGCAGCTTTAAGGCCCATTGGTGATTAAACGGGTTATTATCTTTTGCTTATGCTCCCATGTATCCACAAGTAGTTGTGTTTCCTGCTGCCACAGAACGCTGTTCCCCAGTTTACAAAAAACATGGTCCTGTTGTGCTCACGACAGCTTAGAAATGTGGTGATACAAAACTGGAAAGAAATACAAATTAACCTGATTATGCATCAGAATAATGGAAATGGTTAATGGAAAAAATAATTAAACCACAGTCTGCAAATGTCATCTGCTGAATCTCATTTTCAACACTGAATATTCCCAAATAATTTTGAATAAATCCAATATCCACACTCTACCATGTACTTGTGTTTTTCTAGATAGGATTTGTCCCCGTCTGCTGGACATCTTGGTCAGGGCAGACAATCAGACTGGTGGAGAACTAGACTGCTTTGGCAACTTATTTAGGGGATATGCAAGCAAAACTAACAATGTAGTGCTTTAAGCGTGTTAAGACTGAAAAAATGAAATGGTCCCTCCTACCGTTTCAGCTTATTCCAGCGCTGTCATAAATAAGGACACTTATAAACTTGCATTTATTATGATTACATGATGATCAAAAACTAGCAGGTCACCAACTTTGCTGACACAGCCAAACGTCAAGCAAGTGCGACAACGCCAAACCGAGCAAAATAACTCACTAGTCCAACAGAAAGAATGCCCCTGCCTACTCTTCTACTACTCTTGTCTAGTAAGTTTGCTAACATCAACTTGTAAAGAGTAACACGTCCGGTCACTTTTTTTTCTTACTCTCTTCTTCGGCCTCTTTGCAGCCTCTGCCATGGCATCCATACTGAGAATATCAGGCCAACTTCTTCCAAAGACCTTATGTTGTACATTAGATCCTTTTTGCTGCTTCTTCCTTGCAGAAGAGTCGTGTTGGTGCTGTAAACCATTACACTGTTGTGGTGATAAATGTCCCTGCTACTGCCCTGGCCAAGTTAAATAGCACAGTTGCCTTTCTCTTTTCTCTGTAGCAAGAAGACTGCTTCATGGATATGATGATTTGGTGTGCCCCCAGCAGTTAGCTAGCAGCAACACATGTCCTCTTTGAGAGTTTTACTCCGCTACAATAAGCAAGAGGGAGATTGGGAAGAAAGAAAGCGAGAGGAAGGTGATTTGAGCAGAAGAGTGACAGCATTCAGGAATCATCAAAAGATGAGAGAGATGTGAGGGGGTGGAGAGCCGGGGAAGCAGTGTTGGAGAGAGGAGAAGGTAGAGAGAGACAGCAGGTGAGAGAAAAAGGGATGACAAGACAGCAGCGGCGCCAGCCGGGAAGAAAGGGGAGAGGAGGAGGAGCGAGGGATGCAGGGAACGAGAAGGGGACGAGTGCACAATGTGTGAGGGAAGACATCAGTCACTGTGCAAGCACCAGCCTATCCCTCTGACCTATTTTATCCTCCATCAGCATGCTGAACGAGGGATGAGGAGAGGCTGATGAATAATAGAGGAGGAGGAGAGATGGATGAGAATGAGGCTGCCTTCCTCTCATTCACTTCTCCCTCCTTCACAGCCCGTCTTCTCTCTCTTTCCTGCGACCCCCTTTTTTAATTTTAACTCCGGGACAAAAAAAGATTTTATAAATAACTAAAGAGATTTTTTTGGGTGCAATGCTGACGTGGGGGCACGTAGCGTGTAATCGTCAGAGATACGTCTGTCGTGAGTGTGTGTGTGTGAGAGAGAGAAACTTGTAGAATACGGTTACGTCAGTTCGAGGTAGGGGGGATATTTCTAGCTTTTTCTTTACTTTGTGTACCTTTTTATATTGCAAGAATAAATTGTCAGATAGGTACTATTAAAGTCTCTATATGTAGAAGAACTGAATCCCTCTTGACTGTAGGATATCTGGGATGAGAATGTCAAAGTGGCCAAAGAGTTTCCTTTTGCCCTCTGGATAGAAACCACAATATGTTATTTAGATATATATATAAATGATATTTTGCCAAATGTATTGGGACATCCCTCTGAATCATTGAGTTCAGGTGTGTGTGTGTGTGTGTGTGTGTGTGTGTGTGTGTGTGTGTGTGTGTGTATATATATATATATATATATATATATATATGATGTAATGACCAAGTAATCATTATGATGATTCTGTCAGTGCCTTCTTAGCTCTGACTCTGTTTAGATGATGTCATCAATTTGTGGGCACATACAAATGTGTTACTAACTTCTTTAAATCTTAAGCCCTTGGTTGTGGTCAGGATATCACATTAACCGCGCCTTTGCCCACTTGCTCTCATTCACCTGCTCAGTCTTCTCTCTCACATCCTCTGCCACCACACCAACCCCCTCTACAACCAGTGTGTTTAACGGCCTAAGCCGTAATCCCCAGCCTCACTGTGATTTTATTACTGTAATCTGGGCTGGAATTGGCTTAGCTCTCTCAGACACTGGCAGACAGAAGGACAAGGACAACAAAAGCCAAGACAGCTGCAGGGAGGAGCTGAACAGGGAAAGAGGACACGGCAAGAAGTGGGAGAGAGGAAGGGACTTTGTGATCTGAGGAGGAAGGATGAGAGGACAGTCAGGGAGAGGTAGGAGGGGGCAGACTTTCTAAGGGGAGTTAATCTAAAATTTAGTAACATGTATATTACCTGGTGTTTCCTTTCTGCCCACACTGAGATCTAAACATCTTTTAAGTGGTTCACTTTGGCGCAAAAAAAAATCAAATAAGGAGGTCCAAGGTGGAGTAGGGATTTTAATTCACTCCTCTTCCCTCCAACACCATTAATGCCATTGTGCAAGACACTTAAAAGATAAATACACTACGAAATCATACAAGGCAGAAAACTGTTGCTGACCAATATAAACTAAACAAAAAGAAAAAATGTGTGTAGCAACAGCAATAAACATTGCAGTCAAATAAATACATCTCACGTGGTTCATCATGCCTGAAGGTACCACTACTGTCTCGGACAACATTTGACAGCACAATATCGCCGCATCTCCACTGCCTGCTTTTTGGTTATCAGCTGATATTTAACTATCATCAAAATTTAAGCTGAAAGGCCCAATAAGAAATAACAGGTCACTAAGTAACACATTACTTTTGTGTGCAGGCAACAAGCTGGAAGGACTCCAGTGCGCATGCTCTATTGGTCCAAAACATGGAAGCCTGAGAGACCCTGAAAAACTTTTTCTGCACAATGCACCCAGTTAGCAATTTACGCAGGAAATAATAGGGCGCATTGGCAACATGTTATCAAGTTTTCTTAATATATCCATCGCTTGCCTCTTTGACATTTGCAAACCAACTTTAGTGCAAACCAAGACAGTGTCAACTGTATTGGAAAAAAACAAATACACACACCCAGCTCTCAGCTTTTCTTCAGTATTGCATTGCAACCAGCAAGCCAGTCACTGCCCTGGAACAAAATGTATTGCTTTTCAAAGTTAGGATAGACAACGTTGGAGAACTAACAAGAGAAAAATAGATTTTGAAAGAAAATCCCGCCCCCTCCTTTCAGGCCAAATTCCAAAGCCACTCCCCCCAAAAAATGTTCATGCTCAATGAGTGCACGGGCAGAGCGCATGCAGGTAGACAGCGAGGTATAGGCCAGCCAATCATTTCAGGTGGACCGAGTGAAATGATTGGCTGTGCATTGTCAAAGCATTTGATTCATTCATTACCGTTGGGATATAAAGACAATTTCAAACTCGTCTCTCGTCTCTTCTTGCAACAATTATTATGTTTGAATGGCATGACTGCTAGCTTGCAGGTGGGCTCTGCTAGTCAGCTTGTCAGATATTGCGTTTCACCCTGCCGGAGTCTTCTTGTCACATGATCAAATAGAAATTTAAGATTGGGAAACATAGGTTACACATATTACCCAGCAATCATCATTGCATATGTAGGATATATGACACGAATACCAAAAGAATTGTAATAGAATTTGTGGAGTAATTGTTTTACACTTTGCTTGCTACAGACTTTTTTTGTTGATAAAACTACTGACTGACAACATGGCAAAGGTGGATGTGCACATTTGAGGATATGTATACTTCATGATCTGAGACAACACAAAGAGGTCCAAGGAAAGATGGGAATCTAAAGTGCAACTGAAGAATGGGAAGCATTTTTATGATAACTGCCGTCGTGAAGGCAGGATTACTTGGTTCTCTCTGAAAAAGACAAAGAACTGCTGATGCAATAATAATAGTATATGATATGATAAAATGACTATATGACCAACAAAAAAATTCAAAAGATTGAATTACTCTTTCAACGAATAGTTTTGGACATTTCACATTTTGGAAAAATCAATAATTTGATTTCTGGGCCTGAGTTAGATAAGACGACTGACACCACTCTAACCTCTGTTTGCTAAATGTGAAACTAGAGCAAGGAGTTGTCATCTAGCTTAGCATGAAGACTTGAAACAGGGGGAAATAGCCAGCCTGGCTCTGTCCAAAGATAAAGAAAATCTGTCAATCAGCACTTCTAACGCTCACTAGTTAACATTGCCAAGCTAAGCTAACCAGCTGCTGGCTGTAGCTTCATAATTACCATGCAGACATGAGAGTGGTATCAATTTTCTAATCTAATTCTTAAAGCTTACAGGTGTATTTGCAAAAAAAGTTGAGCTATTCCTTTAATAATCCCCCTGTCTGCTGACTGAAAATATGTAGTACTACCACTGCATTCATTGACCCTCAGATGTCAACCAACTGAGACTGAGACAAAATCCAGAAAGAGAAGACAAAGGGTGAGTAAATGATAATAATAAAAAAAACTTCAGGTGAGGGAGGGAGAGAGAAGTTAGTCTCTGTCTGACTTTAAAAGGTCTGTCCCTTTAAGAGCTGGAGTGTGCTACTGAGCAGGAGGAGGGGGAGTTTGTTGGCTGCATTGGAACAGTCCTCTCTAATGAGCAGATTTTCTGAGAGACACACACACACACACACACACACACACACAGAGATCAGGAGAGAGAGAGATACAGAGATCCAGCCGTAGGAGGAGAAGAGATTGTAAGACCCAGGCAGGAAGGCAGCCTGTGCGTCAGCCGGTGCTCCATAGGGAAACATGGAGACGAGCAGGAGATGCTGAAGAGGACAGAACACACCAAAACAGGATCATATAGATGGATGTTATTTCATCAAGTAGGCAACCTGAAGGCAACCCATGCAAAGGATAAACCACTTATGGACGCAGTGGATTAAAGATCTGCAGACAGACTGAGAGAGAGGGAACAGAGGAGAAGAAATTAATCAATTCAGTTGTTTATTTTCGTTGTCTGTGTGTGTGCGCACCGGCAGTCAGAAAGTGTGTGCGTGTGTGTGCCTTTGTGTAGTGTGTTGGTGCATAAGGCAGGAGACTGCATTGCTGCTATCCAGCAAGACAGGACAGACAAAAAAAGAAGGCAGCCTAGCAGATTACCTTTTCTGTTTTCCCCCATTCTTTCGTCTCTGCCTCTGTCTATGCTTGTGTGTGTTCCTTTGCTTCCTTCACCAGGCGCTGTGTGTGTGTGTGTGTGTGTGTGTGTGTGTGTGACTGGGGGGGGCTGAGAATAAGAAGAGGATGGTGAACCCTGAAGTGAGCTACAGATTCTGAGTCTGACTTTAAATGGTCTTTTTTTTTTGTCTGATCATTAGCAGCGGTCTCGGAGAAATAACAATTGATGAGGAGGAGAGTCTTTCTCTTTCTTTCTTTTTTCTCCATCACTCAACATGTCACTGCTCCAGTTTGGGCCTTGGTGCTGATCAGTGAGCCAAAGGGTGGCTTCTATGCCAGTGGGTTGGAGGTTTGAAAGGCTGCCATCGGGGGAGACTTCTCAGCTCTACACTCCAGAGAGGTGTAGGCATCATCAGGTAGGAGGCGGCTGAACGCGGGGGACTGAGTGGAAAGCAGGAGAGGAGTAGGAGGAAGAGTTGTGTGTCGTAGGCTGTGTAGGCTGACCATGGCAGGCTGGTGGAGCTGCCTGATGGTTTAAACTCCTGCTGAGAGAGGATAATGGCAGCTCTGGGCCCACTCTCCTCCTCTCTCACCTGCATCTGCCATGGAGAAGCAGGAAAGTGCTAGCCGATGCTACAAAGAGCCCACCAAGAGGATGGAGTGAACAGCATCACCCTTTCCCACCACGCCGGGAGACCCCTGACACCCTGTGAGGGGCCAAGTTTTGTTGTTCACCTTGTTTCTCCTTCCTCTTCCCCAAACCAGCTGAAAACAAGGGGTGCTTGATTTGTGTGGGAGTTCTCTCCTTCTTCCTCCCACTCTCTCCTCCTCACCCCTAACCTCACCTACCTCCAAACTCCGCTCCATGGATTGGTTCTAGCACCAACCTGTCCTTCTTTTTCCTCCCTTTTTTTTCTTTTTCTTTTCTTTTTCTTTTTGTCGAGGCTTCAGGGGAATTGCCAAGACCTGTTTCATGCATGTCCACTGGCGGCAGGTTCAACTTTGACGATGGGGGGTCATACTGCGGAGGGTGGGAGGAGGGCAAGGCGCACGGCCATGGGATCTGCACGGGACCCAAGGGACAGGGCGAGTATTGCGGGTCCTGGGCCCATGGCTTTGAGCTGCTGGGTGTCTACACTTGGCCCAGCGGGAACACCTACCAGGGCACCTGGGCTCAGGGCAAGAGACACGGTGTGGGCGTCGAGAATAAAGGCCGCTGGGTGTACAAGGGCGAGTGGACGCATGGCTTTAAGGGACGCTACGGTCTGCGGGAGAGCACAGGGACAAGCGGGAAGTACGAGGGGACATGGAACAACGGGCTGCAGGACGGATATGGAACAGAGACGTACTCAGATGGAGGTAAGAGGGGGAGGAGAGACACATGAGTAGATGAATTGTGTATGTTTTGGGGGTGGGTTTGAGTGTGTGTATGCGAAGATGTGTGAACCAGTGCATATCGCTCCTTGACAGTGCCTGTCAAGGAGCGATATGACAACTGTCCTCGGCGAAATTGACTGGAGAGTGATTGACAGTTACAGAGGTGACAGATGTAGGAGGAGTTTTTCTCGAGGTCTTCTCAGGTCAGGTTTCTTCTGCCGTGCCTCGTCGCCACACACACACACACACACACACACACACACACACACACGTACGTATCAGCATCAGGGCAGGCTTTGAAAATTATTCTCAACCTCTGACTCTTCCTTTCCCCGTCCTTTTGCTCCTCATCTTCGTTCCTCCCAAACCTCACCCCTCACTTCAGCTGCATGAGGACATGCTGTGTATTTGGAGGCCTTTAATTCAGGCCATGCAGTCTTAAGGGATGAGTAAAAAGTTAGAGGGACAGACAAGGACAACAGCTCCCAAATAACAAGTTCCAAGAAAACGAAATGTTTCAGAAAAAAGATTACAATGTCATTATCATTTAACAGAACATTTAGAGACATCAATTCCATGTCTTCACCCTCAGTTTCCCCATCGACGTATAGCCAACCATGCTGTAAAATATTTGATTAAATACACCACAGAACAAAATATTCTATATATATATATACTTACAGTCATTAGGGGCTCTGTGAGGCTAAATGCTAAAGTCAGCATGCTAACAAGTTCAGCATGACAATGCTGACATGCTGATGCTAAGCTGTTACAATGTTTACCATGTTTACCATCTTAGTTAACTTTAGTGTGTTAGCATGCTAGCATTTACTAACTAGCACTATACATAAGGCACAGCTGAGGTTGATAGGAATGACATTCATTTGGTAGGTATTTGGTCAGAAGCCAAAGTACTGTATGAATTAATATTTTGACTTTATGATGGCTCTAGATAAAGGGGGATCGAAGTTAACGCAGTTAACCTTCTGGGGATCATGAATGTCTGAACTAGATGTACACAAATGTAAATCCCATGGTGGCACTAGAGGAAAAATCACAGGAATGCCAAAGTCGTTAGGCTTCATCTTCTGTAAACCATGAATGTCTGTACAAAATGTTGTGCCAATCCATCCAGTAATTACTGAGATATTTTTTTCTGGCCCAAAGTGATGGATCCACTAATAGAATGCTGGACCAGCATTTCTGGAAAAAAAACCTGAAAACAATCCACCTGTAATATGCCTGAATCTGACGGTTTTACCAAATTAGGCAATGCCCACTTTAATGCATGTTTAATACATCCGTGACTCTATTATTTTTAATGTTTGAATGCTGTTAAACGCTAAAATATTGATTATGGCAACAACATTCTTATCATTTATGAGTCACACGATAAAATGTAAGCCCCTTTGCACATGTAACCTATTTTGAAGGTGCTTAATTTGTAGATCTTTTGGATCAGCATCAAATTGAAATAGAAATCAATGCACTTTGAGTCTCTTAGACCAGGGCTCAGTTCAGTCACTGGTAATGAGACGGACATATGGATTCCTGCTTAAAAATAGATACACACTGAGCATACACATTGTGCGTGCATTAATGCACACACGCGAAATCTGGTTGACTGAGCTGACAGTAGCATGCATGCAGTTAAATCTTTGTTACATAACTCTACAACTAGCAGGCCGTTTTACAACGGCTCGCACACACACACACACACACACATATAGTCCCGAGCAGCCCGATAAAATCCTTAGACCAGACTGACTTTAGAGGTTGAGTCAGGATAAAGGAGAAGAAGTTGGCTTGACAGATTAACCACACAGATGGGATGGACTTACCGACAGAGAGAGGGATAGATGAATCGACAGATGTACAGATTGATGGATGAATGGACCAGTTAAATGATGAACAGATAATGGAAAGATGGCTGGCTGGATGATTATCGTGATTACTATGAGGGATAGGCTCTAATCAGGGGATGAGTGAGATCATTTCAGAAATAAGGGGAAAGACAAAAATGGACAGCAAAAAAAAGTGGTAGTCTAAGAAAACCTCCCAGAGAGAGATGTGTTGGAGAGGCACTGTAGCTCTGGGAAGTATTTGAACCCACATACTGTAAATGCAGCAGAGACTGGCCTAGTTATGAGTGTTTATCTTGCTACAACAGTACACAGTGTCCTTATTATAACAACATACATTTGTCCTTTATTTAAATCTATGAAGCGATAAAAATGTATGTCACACTAAAATGTTTTAACATAGACAGTTACTGATCTAGCTGGAGCATGACACCACCAAATTTAACATAAATACAAGAAGAAATACCCTCAAAATTATATATATATATATATAATTTAGTGTCCAAAGAGGGAATGTATTTTCTATAATGATAATCTATTTCATCTATTACCAGAATAAACCTTACCTTGATTTGGCTCACATGGCTTACATGTCTGTTTCTAGTATTTTCACCTGGCACATTTCCCTCCCTGAGTTATCTTTAGCTCTATGCTAATTTAGTCTCTTTTCACATTGCATCAGTTAGCTTGATTCTGTGTTCTTCAAAAGTCATGGCTAAGAGCAAAGAGTAAAACCTTGGGGAGAATAACTTTCTAGAACTGCATTCAGTCTTGGTATGGCAGGGGACACTATGTAACAGTTGTTTCTCAGACATTCACACAGATGAGGTAAAGACAAAGATTATATCTGTCAAGCGACTAATGGTACAGAAACTCTCATGCTGTAACAAATTAAAACAACTCAACAGGAGGTGAAGCATTGTCTGGCAAAAATAGTTTCACTTAAAAGATCTTTTAAAATGCTACATTAATTAAGAATTTAGCAGAGTGGACCTGTTGTATCTTGGCGCTAGCTTGATTCAAAAAAGCAATTCATGTATCTAAAGCTCTGGTAACTAATTTCTGCCCAGAAGGCAGAGTAACTCTGAAGCAATCTGCCTGACACACTGCCCAGTATCATCTCATAAAGTTATTACGGCTCACGTGTTAGCAAACAACTATCTAACATTACACATTGAGCAGACATGAAGCAACATTACCATTCATTTGGAGTTGTGTTTTTGGTCACCTGACACATAAGTCACTCTCTTTTTAAATCTGTTTTGTTTTGAGAAATCTCTCTCTCTCTAGCAGCTAAATGTTCTAATGTATTTACCTGCTAGTTGCTGACTTTATCTGTCAAATGTAGCAACATAGTGGTTTTATGCTCCTGACAGAAACACGGTTGATTAGAATGGTAAATGTATCATTAAACTAAAACAAGCTAAAAGAGCCTAAAAAGCACACATTACACATTGAATCATTTGATTTAGCAATAATTAAAAATATAATATAATAAAAGATAAAGATTAATTGAGCTTTAGCTACAGTATATAGTAATAACATTGATTTTGCCAATCTAATTTGCTAAATTATGAATTATATTTTGGTTGTTCAGCCATTTAAGAGTTACTTGAGTGAAGCATTTTGTCTGCTACCACCTCATGCCACTGATGCTGCACATTTGTCCTGTGCAGGTATAAGGTCCAGGACAGCCACAGTATTAAAACACTTTTATAGTTACACTGAACTCTGACATAATTTAGCAGGTACACAGTATATGGCCTTTGTTTTTAATTACAGTAATGTAATTTATCTTTAATGAACAAAATGACTGTGACTTTGAAATGTCACAAATTCACTTGTCAGTCTTTTGTGATTTAATGGATCTTCCTTGTATAAGCTGGGCGTAAATTGTGCAGACTATAATCGTCCCCACAGATAAAGATAGTGAAACCAAAATGACATAATTGTTGAATGTGATGTTAATATGCCCAAATACCATTGGCACTCTTAAGTAAACTCTACCATTGAAAGTTCATAGTTCCTTAAGTGGTTAAAGCTTGACAGTCTATCTTTGCCACCTCAGGGCTCTGTCATGTCCAAAGCAATAAGAGTCAGGAGCCAAAACATTCAAATATGCTCTGCTGCCTACGTACTTCTGGAACACGCTGTGCACTTTAGAGCCAGCTATATTTCCCACAGTCAGGTCTAAAGTGACTGTCAGTCCCACTCTCCCCTCCAACTACACCTGATGCCACCCTTCTAGGAAACATGCCTCCTCTATCTTATCGCTGCTGTTTGGCTTTTTGTTCCTCTCCTACGTTTGCCAACATTCCTCTCTCCTCTCCTCCCACCTCTTTTATTCCTCCTTCGCTACACCGCATTTCCACCGAGCTGCTCTGTACAGTAGGGTTTCCATAGCAACGCTCACCGACATGCAGCAGGTCAGCGTGTCACGAGAGACTCAGTGTTCCTCGCTGCCATTGGCCGCCCAGCCTGCTCTACTGGGCTCCGATTGGCTGACTTGGCCTTCCGGGCTAATGGTGTTTACTGAGATGAAGACCTAAGCTCACTGATTAACAACCACGCACAGAGAGAAACAGAGGGAGGGACGGAGAAGAATGAAAAGACAGCTTCAGTAATCATTTTAGTGAGAAGTGAGTCACAAAGGGAGAGGCATGAGATTACAACTGTCACTGTGTACAACAGTGGTAACGGCTAAACATTTCAGCAGCAGCGGTTGTTGTGTCTGACTGGCTTATATGCCACACACAGTGTCAACCACACAGAAGCTCACTCATCTCTCCCTTTTTCTGCCTTAAATGAAGACTGCACCAAACGCTACAAAGAAAAGAAAAAGTGTGATCAAGGCACATCCTATCACAGATTCTTCATTAAACGAGGCTTGTGAGCTAGCTGTTGGCTAATACAACATTATAATCATCCTGTAGCAATTGTTATTCCAGCCCTGATCATGTAATGTAAGCTGACATAGTAAATTTACTTCTCAAGTTTAGATACACTGATATATGATAGATACGCCAAATTAAGTCAAAGACGTGCTTTATGTCGTGTACAGTAATGTAATGGTAAGACATGTGCTTTGGAAGCTTGATGACTGGGGAATGTAAAAGACGG